GGGACAAGTGGGGAGCCATGGACAGCTTGGGTTTTCCTTGGTGTGCAGCTCCTGGACTTCCCTGCAGTCAGTGCTTAGGTGTTCTTACTACTTGCTGCTTCTGATGACAACTGCCCACAGGCCTGCACGCACACTGCCCTGCTTCCCTTGCTTTCTAGCAATGTGGGTAATAGAAGGACATTTTAGCAGCAGAGCAAAGTCAACAAGTTGTTGGTGTCACCTGTGCAGGAGCAAGCTGCCTTTGTTCCCTAATAAATCACTGATCGGGCAAAATCTGTCACACCCCGTGTCAAAGGCCATCAGTCAGCATGAGCAATGGGCCAGCTTGCCATGGCAGCCTCTGCTGTGCGGGGTGAACAGGAGCATGCCCTCAAGGCAGGTTAAGCAAACCCCTGAGGGCTGCCAGCTGCAACTGGAATTTGTGCCAAATGCCCTGCAGAAGGCCTGTGCTAGCAGGGGAGCTGTCAGTCAGTCAGTGTGACGGGCAGGCAGCAGCACTAACCTCTGCTGCCGGTGCCAGGTTGGATGCCTGCCTCTCCGGTCCCCTTTGGTTTGGGCATGGCTGGCATGGCAGAGCCTCCACTGCCAGCATGCACTGAGGAGGATCCCAGCAGAGGTCCCCGCAGAGCCCCTGGCAGCCCCAGTGCCCGTGGAGCGCAGCCACCGGCGGTGACAGGTCTACCCTGCCCCTGTGCCACCCAGCACGGGTTTGCCTCTCTGCCGTTCCCTCCCGCAGTGAACAGGTCACCATCGCGGTGCAGCGGGCTCAACCGCTCCGAGTCCCCCAACTGGGAGCACAACGACTACGGGGGCAGCAACACACAGCTCCACAGCAGCAGCAACAACATCTACACCCCCGACTACTCCGTGCACATCCTCTGCGATGTGCAGTTCGTCAAGGTACAGGCTGGGCTGGCAGGGACTGTCGCACCCCGGGCACCCCTTCCCAGGCACCTTCTTGTCCTGCTGTGTCCTGGGAGCCTGATGGGTGTCCAGTGGGTGCTGGGGAATCCCACACTCCTGCTGGCTGGGGTTTGGTACCACCAAGTCCCCAGAAGGTCTCAGTGGACCCACTGAGCTGGATGTGCATGTCTGTGCCTGTGCAGGTCACCCGGCAGCAGTACCACAACGCGCTGGTGGCCAGCCGCATGGACAGCTCGCCACAGTCCCCTGACATAGAGGCCTTCGACAGGGATTCAACCAAGGCCTCAACCCTGCGGGGAACCCCACAGACACCCAAGGAGGACCCCACCACCCTCCTGAACGAGAAGAACAGCATCATGTGTGAGTCACCCAGCAGCATCCCTTCCCTGCCATAGGCCAATGCTGCATGTCCCCTGGGGGGACCATGCTGGGATCTGCTGGCATGATGGGCACACCGCTGCTGAGGTGCAGTTGCACATGGCCTGGGGCATAGGTGCAAGTGTGCAAGCATGTAATTCCTCTCTGTATGCTTGTGTTCCCCGGGGGTCTCTGGTAGTAGGACCTGCTGCTATGGCTGGCATCCTGCTGCATCTGCACCAGGCACAGCATCTCCCTGCCCTGCTGCCATGCTTACCCTGTGTCCCTGCAGGCAACCGCTCTGAAGGACTGCACAGTCCCAGTGAGTCAGTGTTCCTGCGCATGGAGAGCATCCCCTTCATCCAGGAGGAGACGGCTGACAACGAGGAGAACAGCAAGCATCAGAGTGAGTCTGGCCGGGGGACATGCACACAGGACCCTGAGGGTAGTGAGGGCTGTGATGCCCCTGGGTGCTGCAGCCATACTGGGCTTTTGCAGACAGTGAGCGCTGTGGCACTATCCTGGAGCCAGAGTCCCCGAGCAGAGAGGCTGAGACCAGCTCAACGCCAAGCAGCAATGAGGAGACACTGGGCAGGAGGCTGCTGAGATCCCTGAGTGAGTAACTCACCCATGGAGGGAGCACCAGGGGAGAGCTCCTGGGGACACCCTGTATGGGGCTGATGGGCAACACAGTACCCTGGCAGTACCGCAGCAGCAGGCAATGCTGCACCTAAGGCTAGCTCAGGTAGAGCCAGTCACCCTGCCCTGAGCACCCTTGCCCCCAGCACCCCAGACTCTCTTGCTGCTGCAGGTGGGCGCAAGCAGCGGCCGTCGCTGGAGGATGAGAAGTTGCCAGAGGAGAGCTCCAATCTTGACCCATTAATCACCTGAGCAGCAGCGTGGCCAGAGCACAGTGCTGGAGGCCCATGCAGACCGGAGGTAGGAACCTGCCTCTTAGTGCAATATTCCACCAAATGGGAGGTTGCTCAACATTAATAGCGTAAAATGAAGTTTCAAGCAGCAAAGCCAAATGCTGTGGTTAGGCATGCACGTTGTTGGGGGCTGGAGCAGGGTCAAGGAATGTAGCAGCAGATTCCAACCATCTTTGAGGCAGGAAGGGGTGTGGGAGACAGTGAGACCCTAACTCATGTTTTCACAGCTAGAAATGTGTCTGCACCAATACCCCTGAGCCTGGCTTGGGAAGGCGCTGCAGGCTTGAGCAGCAGCAGGTGAGGGAGGGCAAGCTCCAGCGGCCTGCACGAGGCTGCCTTTGTGTCTTCCAGGTCTGCAGCATGGGGGTCTCCTGCCACGAGGCTCATGTTCAACAGCAGCAGGTCTGCACCCGCTCGCTGCCTGCCCACCTGCCTGCCCGCTCGTGCCTCCCCTCCCTGCAGGACTTGTGCAGAGCCCCATCCCCAGGCGAGAAAGGATGTGCTCCCGGCAGGGCTGAACCACCCAGGCAGCCTGGACCAGCCAGCTGGAGTCCGAGGCCCCTTGCCCAGCTGCTCCCTGGTAGCATCTGGTCTCAAGGAAGAGGTGGAAAAAGAAGTAGAGAAGTGTTTGTTATGGCCTCCCTGCAGGCAGAGCCGGGGGGGCAGCCCAACCCAGAATCTCCCTTAACATCATCTGCCATCCCCATCCCAGAGAGCCCCAGAGCCCCTTGGTGCTGGCGCTGCACAGGTGTGGTCTCCACCATGAAGAGAATGTACTGTCTGGGGGGTGCCACATGCAGCTCAGGGCCCCAGCACACGTTTGTGCCATGCCTAGTGACACGCACACTCACAGCACCTTGCACACACTGACCATCGACACAGCCCAGCGCTCCCAAACCCTGCTAGGCACAGGGCAGGGAGCCCAGCTCCCTGGGGCTCCACGCTGCCTTGAACCATCCTCCTCTCTGCACACGTCTGCCTGTGTGAGGGAGGCTCGCCCTGAGCCTTTGGGTTGGTACAGATCAGTCAGTAGTGTTTGTAGAGGCTGAAAGCAACAGGGATATTGCCATTAAAAGTGATTTCTCCCTGAGCTATGCCCTGTGCCAGTGCGTGTTGGGAAAAATGTGCTAACCTCTCCAACTGGGCTCAGCTGCCCTCATATCCATGGCCAGAGGTGGCTGAAGTAACAGGACTCTGAAGGGAACAGGTAGAAGATCAAGTCAGCAAGTGCTTCCCAATTTCTCTATGTGAACCTCAGCTCTCTGTCACACTGGCTGCCATGAGAGCACTCAGAAGTGCAGAGAGTTACACCACAGCAGTTCAGACAAACACTGGGGGAGAACAGGAGTTAATACCATGCTACTACAAACACAATAGGGGGATACACATGCTGGAGTAGAGCCTGAGAGATAACAGAAATGTCTTAGTCCACCAATGCTGGTAAAACTTCAGCTGGAGTTAACTGCATCACTGTCTGGACATTGCCCTTCTAAGGAAAAACATGGCAATTGAAAAGACGCCAGAGGAAAGCAAGGGCTGGAAAACAACCTCTTTCCAAAGGTTGAAGGAAACAGGGTTGCTTAATCTTAACTGGGGAAGGATGTGGAGAGGGGAAGTTCTCAAATACATAAAAAGCTGTTTCAGAGAGGAAAGGAATAATCTGCTCTCCGTTGCCATGGTAAGTGGGATAATGGGCAATGAGCTTACACCACAGAAAGAAATTTAGGTCACTTGTTAGGAAAAACAAGGCTGTTAAGGCTAGCAAAGCACCGGTACAGATTCCACATGGGGTGGGCCAGGCTGCCCACCTAGAGGTGCATACAGACAGAAGTGTAAACAAATGTCAGAAATAACAAAAGCAGTTGGTTCCCTCAACTCCTTCTCCTGATATCACCCCGAGAAGTCATCCTTTAACCAGGACCCCACCATCCTAGCTGTGGATGGACATCCAAGGACAGAAAAAGCTCCCCACCTGCACAGAGGCCAGGCTGCCTCTGACTCACCCTCTTATGTGACATGAACACCAACCTAAAAATGAAAAATTAGAAACCCCACATGCTGTCTCTCTGCAAGAACAGCAAAGGAACAAGGCACCATTTTTGCCTTTAAGCTGCAGCACAAGCAAAATCCATCAGTGCATCAGTGACTTACTAACTGACCCCAGGAAAGGGGCTGTTTCTTCGCCAAGATCTTGGCAGGAGGCTGCTCTGTCAAGGTGGTAATATCAGCTCACAAATAGATCTGCAAAGAGTAACTGCAGGGAGCAGAAACAGATGGTCCCAGCTCCTTTTCTGTGCCAAAAACAGGCTGCTGCTGGCAGGTCCTGCTGAAGCCAGGGGGAGTAGGTGGTAGTTCATCAGGGGCCTGCTGATAAGGAGGAACAGGGAAGATTCACTTTTCAGCACATCAGAAGCAAGCCAGGAGCTCTGTGCCAGGGAGGAATGGCCAGATGGTTGGGCAGCACATGACCATCCAGAAACCAAGCACATATAGACAGAACAAGCTGAAGAGCACAGGGCAGGGGAGCAGAAAGAGGAACACACGAGGAATATAGGAAGACCCAGTCAGATTTGTGTAGCCACGTGGAGCTGCCAACTACACTCCCAACAGGACTGTGCTCATTAGTAGCAACCATAACCATCGGAGATGCAACACACCATGAGGGAGAAAGGGAGAGCCTTGAAACCAACTGAGTAAGAACCAGTGGACAAACCAGGATGCTGAGGCTTTAACTACAGCCTGGGAAGACATTAGACCAGCCTGAAGGCACATTACACAAGGTAGGGGTAGTGTTCAGAGATGGAGATTTAATTTTCTGTCAGCAACACAAAGAAGCAATAATCACGATTACGAATGTTTGCTCGCATAAGGCTCAGAACTCCAAGAGAGGGGGACACAAGACAGCAACAGCTTCACTCCTCCCCAGAATACTAGAGTGACATTAGTTCACAAACCCTATGAGATCCCAGCTGACTGAGCTGTTATCCCACAGCACATTGCACTGGCACCAAACTTCACCTAGATCAAGCTGATCAGTTACACGGAGTTGATTTAGATGTGCTAAAGATGCAGGTCTAAGTGCCTGAAGACGAGGCTGCTGTCAGTCAAACAAGAGCCAAGACAGCTCATGCTGCCACCACCCTCTTGGGGACACTGGCTTACCATATTGCAAGGGGCACTTCAAAAAGGTGAAAAGATGACTATCCCTGATTGAGCTGCCCCTCCCATCTTTATTAAACCCCAAGAGGTGCGGATCAAGGCAAGCCATGAGCAGCAAAAGACATGGACTATGCACTACAGCTTTGGTGACTTCATGTAAGTTTGTTTGTTCATGTGCTTCATTGGATTTTTGTGACAGCTTCATGGATGGACTTGGCCACGTAGTCCAGGTTCTTCGTAGTCAGGCCACACATGTTGATGCGTCCACTAGCCATCAGGTAGATGTGTTTTTCCTTGATCATATACTCCACCTGCTTAGCTGGGGAAACAATTGGACATCAGGTCAGAGCAGTGACCCCACAGCTCAGAAAAGCCCAAAGAACCAGTCAAGGCTGCTTGGATCTTTCATAAGCAGAAAACCTGGAGCACCAGCCACCAAAATGCTGTCTGATGCTTCATCCCTGCCTACCCAGAGAGGCAGCGATGCTAGGACTCCAGTGTGGTCCCAGAGAGATTGCTGCCTGGACTGCTTCAGCCCAATTCACCCCCACCAAAACCATCCTCACCCAATCCTTCCTTCATGAGGCCACTTGGTACTTACGGTTCAACCCTGTGAAGCTAAACATGCCAATCTGCTCTGTGATGTGGTTCCAGGTGCCCGGGGTCCCAAGGGCCTCCAGTCGAGATCGGAGCTCTGAGCGCATCAGCAAGACACGATCTGCCATCGTCTTCACATTGTCCTTCCTGCAGCAGGCAGGAAGCAGAGAGTGAGGACAGGCACCTATCCAGTTGGGAGCCATTTGACCAAGCCTGGCACTCAGGGAGACAGCTTCCCCTGCTTTCCCTCTCCCACTGTCCCTGGCAACACTTACCACTCAGCAAAGAGCTGCGGGGAAGAAAGTGTAGTGGCCACAATGCGTGCTCCCTGGGAGGGAGGATTGGACCAAGTGGTGCGCACAATCTTCTCCATCTGGGAAAGCACACGCTGCACATTGTCTGTGTCCTTCCCCACCACAGTCAGGTTCCCCACACGTTCATCTGTGGACAAGATGCGAGATGTGAGCCACCGGTCCCACACATCATGACAAAGCAGAGCTCTGCCCACCCCCAGCATGCCAGCCCCATCTGTCTGGGTATGATGCTACTGGGCCAGCTTACTGCCAGACACTCACTGTAGAGCCCAAAGTTCTTGGAAAACGACTGTGCACAGAAGAGCTCAAAGCCCTCGGAGACAAAGTATCGCACAGCCCAGGCATCCTTGTCCAGGCTGCCAGAGGCGAACCCTTGATACGCAGAGTCGAAGAATGGAAACAGGAACCGGCGCTGCAAGGAGGAACAGTGTTAGAGGGAAACCTCTTCCCCACAATCTTCATGCTACCCCTACTGTCCCCATAGGAGGGAAAAACGATCATTGAGCTTCTGAATGAATACAAAAGAAAAACAGTCCAGCAACACCCAACTGTAATATTTTCTTTCTACTGGCATAGAAGAATAGGAAGACTAAAAGCTAAAATGCAGGAAAAAAATGCATTTGAGGACACAGGCGAAAGAGATGCACCACCTTATATCCTATTATCCAGCACCTGTGAAAAGCAGGTGCCCACGGATAATCTTTCCAGCATGAGAACCCTCACTGCAGTTCATGCCACACAGTTGAAAGTAAGAACCTGGAAGCATAGGCAGAACTGGGATACTTCTGTTCTCTGAACACAGGCAACCAGCATCCTATCATCAACACCTGACCTGCAGGACTCTTCCAGCTCCTGCCACAACTCATGCCATTCCGTAGAGCTCATTTTGGATGCAAGTGGTCTGGCTGGCTCAAGAGCTACCTGTCCCCCCAGCACTACTTTAGCCCCAGCAGCAGCCCATACCTTCATAACAGCAGCAATCTGCTTCCACTGGTCAGGAGTAGGGTCTGTGCCCGTTGGATTGTGTGCACAGGCATGGAGAATGAAAATGGAGAACTCAGGGGCTTTCTGAGGAGAGAGTAAAGTAGATCTTGGTCACACACAGAGATGAAACTGGGCACCCACAGCAAAAGGAGATGCCCTGAGCTCCTCTGGCCACTGACAGTTTCTGCAGAGATCCACTTCCAGGCACAGCATGCAAGAGCCCAGCCAGGTCCTGACAGAACAGTACCAACTTCAGCCCATCCCACACCAGTTTTACCCACCTCCATGTCATCCAGCAGCCCCTGGAGATCCAGACCCCTCTTGGCAGCATCCCAGTAGTGGTAGGTTCTAATGTCTTTAAAGCCAGCATCCACAAACACAGAGTTGTGGTTCTCTGAGGAAAGAAACCACTTCTCAGAAAAGCAGGCCCCACCTCCAGCAAGCCACCTTATCCAGCCTCAGCATCTCATTTTACCCACAAGCAGACCTCTCCCACTGCCTGCAAGGGACTCAGCCATGCTCCCCTCACCAACCGGCCCACAGGGCTCCCTGCAAGGAGGCAGCAGCACTGCTAAAAGCACTTACCCCAGGACGGAGTGGAGATGTAGACCGGGGTCGCTGTGTTGTTGTTTCCATTGTACCACCGCCTGAGAAACTCCGCACCGATACGCAAAGCGCCCGTCCCGCCCAAGGACTGCACGCCTCCAATCTGCAACAGAGAGAGATGCCAGCAGGGTCAACCTCACCGGCAGTGTGCAGAGAACAGAGAGAGCAAGAGAAGGATGCCAGACGTGCTCCCCGGGGTCACCCCAGCGAGGGCAACATTCCCTTCCAGTAGTCTTCAGCCTCTTCCAACGCACAGGTCCATCCTGACGCTTTCTACAGTTATAAATAGACTTCAGTTATTCCTGTTACTTTTTGGCACACAGCAGATTACCAGCTAGTAGCTTATTTCAGGAAAGGTCGTCTGTTATCCAACTTCAGTTTCCCGTGGGCAGCTGTTAAAAGATGAGGGAAACAAAACAAATTCCAGTCTCAGCTCATGTGCAGTCTTTCCCCAAAATTACAAACAGCTTCAAGTACACGGGTTCATCAGGTAACCTACAACCAGTAAAAACCACATCAGAGAAATCCCCACATCCTGCTGAAATCCCTTTACTCTGCACATTTGGGCTCAGTCTGCTGTAAAGACAAGCCCAAGATCCCGGTGGCTCTCTGAGGAAGGATTGGTCTCACCCCGTGCCCACCACCTACCCGGTTCTCCTTGATGGCAGGGCTGTCGTCACCCAGGGCGATGCGGGAGGCATTGGCCCGGAACTCGGGCAGGCCCAGGATGGGCAGGTACTCGTGGTTCAGGCTGTTGTCGTTGGCGATCATCTGCTCCACCTTTTTCACCACGGGCAGGACCCATGGCTGCCCCTCGTCCGTGCGGTAGGCTGCCGGGAAAGCGAGAGCCGTGCTGGGCCCGCGGCACGGACACAGGCGGCCGGCGGGCAGGGGCCGCCCCCACGACCTTGACGCCCGCCGCTGACCCACTGCCCGCCCCGCCCCCGAACGGGCGCTCGTCGCGACCCGGTGACCTCTCGGACCCGGGGCCCGCCGCTCCAGCAGGTGTCGGGACCGCCGCAACGGCAACGGCCGGGAAGGGGCCCCGCCGAGCCAGGGGAGGCCGCGGACTCACCGCCAACGCCTAGGTTGACCTTTCGCGAGTCCCCGTCCTCCCGGAAGTCTGCCGTGAGCTTGAAGACTGCGACCGGCGGGGCGCGGGGGACGGCGGTGAAGATGGAGGCGGCCATGGCGGCGCGACCCACTCAGGTCCCCTCCGGTTCGTTACGGGTGGCGCACGGCGCCTGGAGGAGACGCTCACCTTCACCGCCGGAGCCGCCGCACGCCGCAGCCAATCAGTGAGCCGCCGGCGGCCCCACCCGCAACCGCCAGCCAGTGGCGGCCCTGCGGCCCCTCGGGCGGAGCGCGGGCAGCCAATTGCGGCGGGGACGCCGAACGGCGGCGGTGGCCGCGTCAGGTGACGTCAAGCGGCGGGGGGACGCAGGCGCTGCCTATTGGATGCTGGCGACACCCCTGTCCTCGGCTCCACCCTCTCCGCTGCGCCTCGGGGGCGTGGGGAGCGCCCGGCGTGCCCCCGGGGCTGGGTCCCTGCCCGCGGGTACCGGCCTGCCCGGGGCCGCAGCGTGCAGCGGGGGTGCAGCGTCGGTGTGTGTGGGTTCCGGAGCTGCGGCGATGTGGTGCGGGGTCCCAGGGTGCGATGCCCGTGGTACGGCGTGCCGCTGGGGATGCTGTGCCCGAGGCAGCGGCAGTGCTCGGGGCCCGTCACGGGCCCCACAAGGGCCCCTGGGGTGCAGCACACGTGTGGGTGCAGGTCAGCCCTGCGGTGCACGACAGCCCCCGGAGGGCCGTGCCTGGGGGCGCAGGTCTTGGAGGTGCAGGAAGGTGCCAGGAGGGACGTGCCCGGGTGCGGGTTGCTCCCCAAGGCAGTTACGGATCCTCCAGAGCGGCTGCCCTGGGTTTTACGACACGATCCCGGCTCCCACCCGCCCGCGGACCTGAGACCCTCGAGCCCATGGGTCCCTGGCGGGTGCCTCCCCTCTCAGCAGGAGCCACTGGCGGGTCAGCCCCTGCGCTGGCCGTCGGGCAGCGCCCAGGGTCACCGGTTAGCCCGGGAGCGGCGGATGTGCCGAGCAGTGCCGGCAGGGGGCAGAGCCGGCCCGTGCACCGCGCTGCCGCCTCCGGCCAGCCCCTTGCGGCCCCCGAGGGGAGCTGCCCCGCAAGGCGCGACCGGCCCCGGACAGGCGGGAGGTGGTCCGGGGCTGCCCGAGCATCCCACCCGCTGGTGCCCCCACGTGTCCCCGGGGAAGGAAGGGGTCGCTGCGTGACCGGCTCCGTTAGGAACCGCCGCCTGCCTCGGGCGGCTTTTGAAGTTTGTGGGAATCCGCCCTCGATCCTGCAGCACCTGGGAAAGGCTTCCAGGGAAACGGGAAGGTCGTCGCGAATAACAGCTCCGGCAGCGCGACAGCCCCCCCCTCTGCCCCTCGTGACATAAACCACAGGCCATGCTGTCCCCAAAAGCTTTTGCAGACAACCTGTGTCACACACTCCCTTTGTTAACCCAGCCAAGATCCCTCTGAAAACCAGTTTGGCTCCTCGCCCCTCTCCCAGCCGAAAGTGGCTCCACAGCCTGGCTGCCTGAGAGGGAGCCCGGGGGCACATCCCTCCCTTCCCCAGCTCCGGGCAGCACCTGGAAGAACTGCCCAGTGCACTTTCTGCTTAGCATGAGAGTAGGGAAGAGGCAGAGCTGCCCGGCGGCACAGCAGCATGCCGATGCTTTTGCCTTCCAAGAAAACAGTGTAATGGGAAAGACAGAGGAGCAAGACAGTAGTGCTAGACCGAAGCCCTGGTGAGGTTCTTAGCCCATCTCAGGTAAAACCTCTATCAGACTTTGACAAAAGGCTGCATGGAAAGCCAGACAGGGCTCACGTCTGCTCGCCTCAATAGCTGTGGACCCCTGCAAACACCTTACCTTGTCAAGGTGCTGTGAGGGCATCTCTGAACCCTACCCTTAGCATTATCCACAGACCTCAAGAAGCCCAAGCACCCTTCATACAGTTGGGGTTAGAGTTAAGGTTAGGGTTAGAGTTTAGGGTTGAGTTAGAGCTAAGTGAGAAATGCTGCAGGGCTGAGCAGGGAAGCAGTTGATGAGACCATGGACATCAGAGGTAAATGGGGGTAGCCCACCACAGGGTGAGTCGCTTTTTCTGCTCGCAAGAAGTAAAGCACTGCAGTAATAAGATGCTGCAGTGGGAAAATCCAACCAATGCTGCTTAGTGTATCCTGTTTCTGGAGCAGACAGAAGTTCTGGGGAGTCCCCAGACTGGCAGGCTCCCACTGCACTTACAGGGTTCTAATCCTACCACTCTCCAAAGAGCACTGGGATATTTGGGGACATGGCCAAGCTTTTTCCCAGTGCAAAGCAGGGAAATCATAAAGGCGCAGGGATGCTGCCTGCCAAGCTGGCTGCACCAAGGTGCTGCTTGGGACTGCCGGAGCAGGCTGAGCAGTGCCTGCTGCAGGATAAAATGCAGCTTCCCCATATCAGTACCACCTTCCTCATGGGCTCCTGAGCAGCATGAGCTCTGTGCTGCTGATCCAGTGCAGACCATCTGTGCCGCTGCCTGTGCCTATGAGGCCGTGGTTGCTGACCCAGCAGGAGTTACCTGCTGGTGTGCCTGGCTGCCCCCAGCCCGGCTGGTGTCCCCTGCCCTTGGCGGCACAGTGGGGCTCCACTGGGAACAATTGCAGGAACAAGACAGACAGGCAAGAAGCAGGAGGCTGCCGGGCCCCCGAGCTGGGTGGCTGTGCGTTAGCAAGATCCCTCTGGCCCTGAGCTTTCATCTCCACAGCCTACACAAAGGGTGCCACCAAAATGTATGTAAAAGCAGAAGAAACATGGGAGCCAGCCCTGAGGCATCCCTCCCTTCATCTCCTGCCTCTGACTGACAGCCAGCAATGACCTGCCACTCAGCAAAAAGGCCTGCACACCTTACCTGGAGCAAAGAGCCCTCCTGGGCATGCACTGCCACACCACACACATGCATGGCCCCCCACACGCAGCCCCTCCTGGCAGCCAGGGGCAGGGGGGCTTGGCAGCCAGCTCAGGCTGCCGCAGGGATGGGGGGACCACTGAGGACCAGGTGCTGTCCTCCCCCCACATTGAGCCTCACATGGGATTGGGAAAAACCTTTCTGGGAGGGTGCAGGTGTGCTCCTCTCACCCCATCCCTTTCTCTCATCCTCACAAGATCCACCCTTGTACCTCTCTGGCTTCTGCCTCATCTTCTTCCTTGACAAAAAGCCCTGCTGGAGCACCCTCAATCCCAGCATCACTGTAAGGGAAGTGCTGCCCATCTCAGGCAGCATGCAGGCAGGGAGCAGAGCTGTGGCTGTTTCCAGCGAGTACTGTTTTCCCAGCCGTCTTCCGAATACAGATGTTTTCTCAGTGCAGGATCCAGACAGAGGAGGGTAAAATGTTTTCATTCCAAGCTCCCGGGGTCAGGTCATGGTTTGTCTAAATGGCTTTTGTAGCTGTAATTATCAGATTAGCTGATCTCTGGCAGTGCGTTTAGGGGCAGCTACATTAACTGTGGATCCTGACATTGTGCCCCCCCCCTCCACTGCCACCTTGCCCAGCTGGGGCAATGGGTTTGCAATGGAGTGATGGGGATCAGGGATGCCAGGAGAGCCAAGTGAAAGGCATGTGGTTGTTTTTTAGCTGGCATGTTTGGGCAAGACAGCAGCAAGCCTCCTTGACCTCAGTGCATGATGCCAAGCTGGGCCTGATCATTTCCTCCGACTCCAACCCGCAGCTGCAGAACCCCATCCCAGGTACCTGTCTGCCGCTGTGGCTGATGCTCTTCCTACAGACCCAGCACCTGAGATGCCTCCCCTTGCTTCTTGCAGGCAGCAAGCCCAGCAGGTCCCGGGGTGGGAGGTCCAAGACCCCACAGTGCAGCTGAGATAGGGAAGCCCGGGGCCAGTGCCTGGCCACAGGGTGCTGCAAAGGGTGGGCAGTCCACAGCAGCCGGGGAGGCACAGGAATAGGAGCACGAGATACCAGGCGAGACAGGGAGCGTGACGGGGAGATGAGAGAGCAGGGCGAGGGGCAGATAAAGAGGGATCAGGAGTTTCCGGCCCCCACCAGCCCCTGGACTGGTCTGTCTGTCAACGCCTGCAAGTGCTGAAGGCACCGAGCCCTGGTGGCAGCCGGGGCCGCAGGTGCTGCCGAGGGGCACTGTCAGGGGTTGCGAAGGGGCCCCCCGCTGCTGCGTTCCTGCTGCACTGGGACACCGGCAGCAGCTCAGGCCCCAGCACGGCTGGTGATGGGCAGTGCCCATGCACAGCCCCATGAGTGTCCCCACGAATTTCTTCCACTGGCACCAAACAAAACGAGTTCCTGCTCCTCTGAGCTGCAGGCAAATACAGGGGTGTTCGGTAGCCACTTGCTTTCACCCTGTGCCCATGGTGGTGCCTGCTCCATCAGCCCACCTTCTCTCTCAGCTTCTATAGCTGGGAGCAACAGGGGCTTCCCTTGACCAAGGCATAAGCCCTGAAGAAATCATTCAAAATCAGAAAATACTTTACAGTTTCTCCATGAAACAAATAATTTAAAATGTGGTTCCACTGTATTTCAGTTTCTGAAGTTTCATAATGCCGACACATAACACCCCACTGAATGAAGTCTTCCAGAGTGGAATATTTACATCTTCTCTTTCAAAGAACATTTCAACCTCTTTAAATGCTTCAGAAAATTTCAACAGCAAAATTGTGCCTTTAAACATTATGTTCCTGCAGGAGGTTTTGACTTCAGGACAACATAGTTAAAAAAAAAAGAAATCACTGGGAGCTATATTCCTGGTATTTGTCCTAATTGCCACCATGACAGAGCTTGGTTAGCTCCAAATCCATCTTCTTTGCCTACAGCTGAAAGCCAGAGAGCAACTCGGAGCAGTGAGGACAAAGCCTGTGCATCCCAAAAAGGAGCATATCCACCAACCCAGTCAGGCTCAAACTTATCCTGCCACTGCTGCTGCCTGGGCACAGCCAGAGGTTCACCATTGCTCCATTGAAACCCATTTTGCGCATCAGTCCTGGTGTCCCTCCAGTCCCAGCACAGTCCATGTACCATTCAGGACCTATGCCATGGCCATGCTGACCTCCTGTGCATCCTCATGCATCCAGGAGGAGCACAGGCACCCAGAGGAGTGCTGGCCCTGACTGGGGCAAGGGATGGGCTGATCATGGTGCTTGCCATGGATTGAGCCACTGGGGCTGGTAAAAAGTTGTTTCAGAGACCTGCTTTCCCTTACCTTTTCCTTTTGCCTCAGCAAATGCTGG